ACATTCTAAAAAAAATTAAGCCCATTTTCATAATAATTATAAAATATATTATTTTTCATCAAATATTAAACCACAAAAGCAATATATATATATATATATATATATATATTGAATCCCAAAGCGTACAAGAAATACACCCAATAAATGGAACATTTTGTTTGGAAGCGATTAGAGAGAGATAGAGCACAATATGAAATAGTAAAAGAGAGTCCAACATTTATTCATTATATGAACCCCTATTTATAGACATAGGTTCTAATATTATAAAAGTACATACCGGTCTTTTTTATCATTAACTTTTCAGAGAGACTTTTTGGTAATTATAGAGTTATTAACATATAATAATGTCGAGGCACTGATTCGATAGGTAAGAGTTTGCCTACGGTCTGGTAAGCATTGACTCGATCGATAACTAATCCAAAAGAGCGCCTTCTGTCGATGATCTTGAAGGTTGATCCCTGTCCTGTGGAAAATCTCTTGACACGTTCTGCCTATTGTTTGAACAAAACGCTTTTCTTGTCAACATCCGGCACAAGACAGTCGTCAACAGTCATGACTGATCATCATTATTATCCTCCTGAGCCTTTCATCAGCTTTTAGATTTATGCTAACATATTTTTATACATACATGTATGTCTACATAAATTTAACGTTGCACTTAAAAATAATTCCAGCATAAGATAAATTTTATTTTTCTTTTGAAAATAAATATAATATCATAAAAATCATGATACAATAACATAATTTAATTAGAAATAAATATTGAACGCGATCAGGCCCATTTGATGAGGAACGGATCCTGACGAGGGTTGGTGCTGACCACTTTTGTCTTGATTTTTCAGGAAGGAGCAGCAGCTTATGAGCAAGCAATTAGAGAGAGAAACACGTACAGAATAATGGTAAGAGAGAGAATATGGTGAGAGAGAGAGTGAGAGAGAGAGCTAATATGTGGAGGCAGAGATGGCATGATAGACTAATGATGCAAAAATAATGTGAACTCCCACCTCCCCAGGGATTAAAGCAAAGGCTGCACCTCTACAGTCCTCTGTTTCTCTCTCTACTGTGTTTTTCACAGTGGTGACCCTCATGGATCGATGCATAAACCTGTGAAAAAGAAATAGCCTAAAAGGGACTGGAGTGAGAGAGAGAAAGAGATAGAGAGAGAGAATGCTTTAACCTTTTAACACAGGTGTCTGAAACTTAAGGTGTTGTATAGAGTAAATGTATTTAAGAGTATTATACCAACTTCTTTTTTTGTCTTTATATATATAATTAAAAACCATAATGCATAAATATTTAATAACAAGCAATACAATTTTTTCTAATAAAGATGAATATCACAATGTTAAATATTATAAATTGTGATGAAAATATAGTATTGTGCTTTGAAAAAAAATTATCTGAAATTATTGTGGCAGAAGACGAAATATTATAACCAGTGCATCATGTCACACTATAATGAGTATTTTAGAATATGCTTACATAGATATTTGGGGTCTGAGAAAGAAGATATTATTCAGCTGATGAAGATACTTTATTTTTTTTCATTGATTATTACTTCAGATATGTTTGAGTTTATCCCATGAAACGAAGAAGTGAGGTGCTGGAGATTTTCCATGATTTGGGCAAAGTTGATTGAGGCTCAGACTGGTAAAAAGATATGGTATATTAGGAAAGAAAATAAGGGTAAATACACATCAGATGCATTCTTGCAAGAGTCTCAGAGAGTTAAAATAGGACACCACTTGAGAACACCGCAACGGAATGGGATGACAAAAATGAGATTTTGAAGAACTACGTGAGACTTGATCCATTCGTGCAAGGCGTACGTAAACAATCATCTTAGTGTGATTGTTTTGACATTGGAGCTAATTTTGGGCATCTCTCACTTATCTGGCAGTGAAATAAGATAATTCTTTTATGAAAACTATTAATTAATCTAATAATTATATTTTATGATATCTTGAAACACAATTACAGAAAATCTAACTACAGGAACTTTTCTATCAAAGAACGATGTTAGGTAATAAATTAAATGAGATTTAATTACATGATCATTTCAATATTAAGAAGATTGATAGTAGGTAATCTAATTAGAATAGATCTAATTACATGATCATTTCTATATTTGAAATATTCCAAATTTGTATGTCAAAATCTTCTTTTATTTAAATAAATGATTCTAACTGATGTGTATGTGTGGAATTTTAATCATATTTCAACTATTTTTTCGTCTCTCCCCACCTGTTGATAGTGGAATAATCCCTCCCCATGGATGTACGAAGATATATTTGTGTCGAACCATGTAAATCACTCCATTTTGGTTTGTTACTTGTTGTGTGATTTTATTTTTTTGCATTACTTTGAACAATAGAAAATGTTCTTAGTGGATCTTTATGAGCCAAATTGAGATGAGAAATGTCACATAAATGGGCAATGACTGTGAGATTTTGCAAGTTGGTTATAATAGAAATAAATAATGGGAGAAGAGTGTAGAATTTGAAATATTTGTTTAGAATTACATGTAATTTTCTAGAGAATTTTTTGACATAAAATTTGCTACTTCAATTCAATAAATTTTCTACTACAAAACTCTTTGGTAATCTCAAAAAAAATCGTTCATAGAAGAAGTCACGAGTAGCAACGTGTTTGCTTGTAGTTTCATTAAAAAGTTGGCCCATAAAGTTATTTGAACCTACAAATCCTTAGAGCTCCATACTTACTAAAATATTGAACTAACTGAAACGCTTAATATCAAACTCTCCACAAAGCACCTTTTGAAGTAAATATCTTGACTATACCTATTTATAACTTTCCCTTTGGACTAGGAGTTTCTAATTAAACATGTTTAAGATTTTCATCAGAAAAACTCATCTTAGATACTTATCCTCTTTTCAAATCTAACTTAATGAATAGTTGACAACCTATTTTACCCTTCTTAGCCAACTCTGTTTCCCTCACGGAGCCTCAGCTATTGCATTTGTTATGTCATGTTTTATAAATTTTCTTATGAAAGTTTTTTTTTTTCATTTTCATGGCTCATTTTGGATGATGACACCTTTAGCTGTTCAACTAAATTGGTTATACGATTATATTATGATTAGGACATTTATTGTAACATCTCATTTTAACCTTTTGGGCTAAAATATGTAGTATGTAAAGATCATTGCTAAAGCTTATACATGACATGCGTTCTTAATTTACTTTTAGGCTAGCTAATATTATAAAATCCACTTGTTATAAAATAGTTGATTCCATAGGAAACCCATTATCAAGTCAATTGGCTAGGGTGAACTTAACATCTACCAAGATTGATTACACTTTACATCCATATTGAAGTACCTTTTTCAAATTAGAAGGCCTTGAGCTTAACATAGATCTCTCTTTGTAAGGCAACCTATAGATAAACAATGTGTCCTCTCTTCTATCACAATATTGTTGGTGTTAGAAATAAGTATTTATTTATTAAGATGAGGCACCGAGTCAGATATATGACAAACATCAATTTTCTAATTGAACTTAACATTTACCAAAATAGATTACACTCTAACTCCATATTGAAGTACCTTTTTCAATAGAGAAGGACATGATTTTAGCAAAGAGCTCTCTTTCTAAAGCAAACCATAAGTGTGATGATCGATGTGTCCACTACCACAATACTTAATGGAGTTAGAAATTAAGAAGAAGAAAAACTCTTTGAGAGGAGAGACCAAGTCAAATATATGAATAGACATCACACTTGTGAAAATTTGAGTCTCCTATAAGATAAATTGTACTTTATTCACCTCCATTGTTGTATGGTGCAAGGTTTGTTAGCAAGTTTGAATTTATTCTTTGATAGACAAGTGATTGGACCACACCCAACCAATTTAATTAATATATAACAGATCAACAACAACAGTGTGTTACACATTTATGATAAAGATTGGTATTCTTAATTAGCCTTTTCCTTCTCAGAGATGAGCTTTGAATATACAATAAAAGGAAGCATTCCATGATCTAATATTCATGCATATTCATATCGTAGGGTGTTATCGCTTAGAGTAAGCTGGAGGTTCTTCTTAATAGTGAAATATGCAATTGATCTAATAAATTTTAACTTTATTAATTGGCCATGCTCTATTCATTTTTGCCAATTTTATGAAACCACAATGGCATTTGCCATTCACTAAGTTTTTATTTTTATTCTAAATTGAATTTAATTCTTTATCTTTAGATTTTGGCATATAGTGTCCCATTTTAATTTTTTCATGATACACTATACAAAAACCTAATATAAATTGGAGTTGTTTGGTGATTAAAAGCTACAAAAGTCATTCTATTATGATGATTATAGTAGCAAGTCATTTGTGCCACCATTTCGAACTTTGGAGCTAGTCTCATTGTAATTCACCATTTTAATAATAATTTTAAAATCACTACTATCAAATGCTACCTTAAGTGGAAGTTTTAATTTTATAGTGATATTTAACAAGAGGCAACTTATAACTTTTAAAAGACTCCCTTGATTGGTAAGATTGTTCTATAATCCTTCCTCTTAATAATTGAGTTCACCAAGTCAACCTAGGATGATGGGATCAAGTGATGTTGATCTTTTTGACCTCGTTGATCATGTATCTTTATTCACCCCATGTTTGAAATTATAGATATTTTTAGAGATATAATTACTAATAACAATAAAAAATTAAAAAAAATGGATGTAAACATAATGGTTACATAAAGTAATCACAACTCATAGTTTTATTAGCAAAATTAAATCTCATATTCACTTAAAAATTATCATCTCCCTTTGAATAATCATAGGTTTCATTTGATTCACCAAAATAATATGATGACTTTATTGTGATACATTTATAAAATACAATATACTTAATAAACTTCATACACTCATAACTCATTATAAATGCATGAATCAAATACAAATATTTTAAAAGTTTTTTTTTTTTCAATTCTTTTCAACAAATTAAATGGAGGAAGAATAGATATGAAGCTTTCTCTCCTCTACTTTACCCTTTGTTGGGAAATAAAAAGCAAAGCACGTGCAAATGGCAATAGAATTAAGGACCCCCGCACTTTTCTTTTTTGACTGTGGAAAGAAGATACCCTCTCTCTCTCTCTCTCTTTCTCATTTTGCATCCAAAAACAGAAAAACCAGATGACAGATTCATAGAACATAGCCTTTTCACTCTTCCAACTTTGTTTTGCTTTTGCAAACATTTAATTTCTCTCTCTCTCTCTCTCTCCTCTGGTTGCTGAGTAGCTTTAGCTATAATAATGGCTTCCATGTTCATCTTTTTTCTTCTTCTTTTGATGCAAAAGCTGGTAGACGGAGCTGGGACCTCTTCAGATCTGTTCCTTTCAAGTTATAATCAATGAGGCCTCCCTAAGGTGAACTCAAGATTGGGTTTTTTGGAGCTGCTGTCTGAGATGCAGGAAGAGTTTATGTCTGAAATCATCTCAAAGCTTCTTGATTGCATCTCGCTCTGTCACATTGAACCAATTTACATTACCCTTTCACATAACTTTTCAATGAAAATTTTAAAGATTTCACTTTTAGAACTTTGGGATGGTGTTGGAAAGTTAAGTTATGGTCTCCCTTATGTGAATGGGAGACAAAAAATTAAATTTTTTTTGCTATTCTTCTTAATCACATGTTTTGTTAGAGTGGTTTTTCATTTTTATGGGCAAAAAGATATGTGATGAGATTCAATTGAGGTTCATTGCTAAGAAATTGTGGTTAAAATAATTTATTACTTAATTTATAGTTTTTTTTTTAAAAAAAATTGAATTTTTAAGATAAAAATGGTGCTAAAAGCCTAAAAATATTAAGTTTTAGTTATAGTTTTTTTAAGAATATCTCATTAGTAAATATTTTTTGGTCACATATTTCTTGTATGAAGTGTGATTGATACACAAAATTATTGTAGTGTGTTTATGTATAGTTTAAAACTTAAGAAAAGTTAATAAGGATATCTATAGTTGATTTGATCACACATTTTTTTTAATTATAGCTTATTAATGTAGTTTTTGCATGATCATTATAAAAAAATTGAGTTAGTTTTCAAATGATGTGATTTAGTATCAAATAGTAATCACTCCTTTCTTAAAGCTAATTAAAGCCTAAAAAATTATTTAATCACACTTTTTTATAATGCCTAGACAATTTTTAGATAACTCTTGTGGATTAAGGATTTTATGACTGATTAACCATGCTCATCTAACAACACTTTGATTTTAACCACCCAAGCCTTTCAAATTAAGTCCTGAAAGAGTTATAACATGGGAAAAGTTGTGCAATTGTATGTTAATTTTTTATCATAATAATGAAAAAAAAATAGAAAAATATTAGTTAAATTATATATTTCAAATAAAATAAGATCTTAACTCAGAATGTGCTTGAAATTGGTACCTCCAGTGAAGACATGCTTCCAGCGCTGGATTCCTTTTGTTTGTCATGAACCAACCCTCTGCTGATACAACCATATATCATGCAGATAGTGTGAATTTCAGCAAATAAAAATTAGTTTTTGAAATAACTGGTGAAAAGAAAAAGGAGAAAATAAATAGAAAAAAGCATAAATAATAAAAAAGGGACTATCTTTCACTACTTGCTTGTAGTAAGATAGCAGCTTTATGAGATATATGGATTGAAATAAAGTCACAATCCCATGTGATCAGCAATTACTGATCTCAATTAGAGGAAACTGCTAGGAAATATCAAAAGGATCATTTAGCTTTTGCACCAAAGCCTCTGGCCTTCTGACAAAGGGCACTTTTGCAAGCTTTTGGTCCACAAATCTTCAGAAAAAAAAAAACACAATATTTAATTCATGTCATATCATCTTTTTATTAGGTGTACCTTTAAAAATTCCTTATTAGCAGAACCAAATGACACTCTTTTATTTAAGTAATAACTACAAATTGTTTCTCAAATGAGAGTGCAAAAAAGATAGTCCCTTTCATAAATATTTAAAAGTTGGTTTTTTTTTTTTTGGTGTAGTGGGACTTGACCTAGATGGTATTTAGCTTATTGTATACTACAAGGAGAGATCATTCCACTATCATGAAGGTGCAATGACCATGTGATCATAGGCAAATGGAATAATACAATAATCTCTCTAGCTTTTTGTGAGTACTTTAATGTATATAACTTCTACGCGAAAGATTTGGTCTTCATATCATTAGGTCAATCAATTTTTGTATATATATATATATATGATAGAAAAATAGAGTATTGATTTATCATTTTCAACATATCATAATTATATCTTATATTACATGTTATGCAAAAATAAATTTTGACTTTATAACGGTGATAAATTAATATTGCTATTCATATATTTGGTGAAACGGAATGAAGGGAGGAGGGAAGCTTCAACTCATATACCTATAAGAAGTCATAATATAAAATTGTAATAATAATAATATTATATTTATTAAAGTTGATTTAATACAAATAATGATGTGATATCTTATTTTCTTTCTTTATTCATAATAATTGTAATTTATTATTATTATAATATATATATATATATATATATATTAAAAAAAGGTGAAATTGATATATGGTCCAGTGGGCACCAAATATTGATTCCACCATATGAGTTGAAAACCCAAAAACCCTCGTGTGCTTGCTCCTGATTCAAAGAGCCCGCGCCACGGGATTCGAACCTCCGATATAAATATATATATATATTAAAGTTGATTTAATGCAAACAATTATTTATATTTTTGTAACGCTTTTTAAGGTCTAAGGTTCACAATTTAGAATATTTTTTTTTTATTCCCCTTTACTCTTCCATTTTTATAGGTCCACTAAAAGATACTTTTCTTCACACTTTAAAAAAAAAATCTAACTAATGATGTAATCTTAAGTCATATGATTAAAAAATTGCCTACAATTCAAGTTTGTTGTAGTGGGTCTAATTTCTAAATGCACAACTCCCAACATGACTAATGATTTGCAATCCTCATAATGTTTGAAAAAAAAAAAAGTTAACTAAGAAGTAACACTTTAATCAGAACAATAAGTTATTTTTGTTGCTTTCATGGCATCACTTTTTGTTTTCAAAGCCAACAATTTAAAAAAAATGGCTTTATTGTAGGAGATAAAAAGCTTTTTTTTTTGGCAAGCAAAGCTCCAAAACATTAAGTTGTGCTATAGTTTTAGTTTAGAATTATCAGACATAAATTACTTTCAAAATAAATAAAATTTAGATAGTTCTACATACACACCACGCAATTCCTATATATTTACATATTTAAAACCTAAGTTTCAATTTTTACATACATAACATCTCATCTATGGATGAAAAGGTATGGTTCATTTTTCAGAGGTCAAGATACAGATATTTTTTATATGATATGAAAGATCTGATCAGTATAAATGTAAAACAGTAGATGTTAGATATGCAATTACATAGTAATTGAGTGATATGTATGTGATATGTATGTAAATAACCGAATTTAGGAATATTGAAGTCACAAATTAGAAAAAGTTTGCAGTTTTTTCTAAGATTGGAGGAAAAAAAAAACCATATAAATGCAATAGACTTTCCCTAATAAGACCAAATAAATAAATGAATTAAGCAAGTTTGCACATAGAAAGCATAAATTAAATCAAATTTAGCTGTCAAAGTGTGAGAAAATATATTATGTCAGGTAAACTGGAGGGAGGTGTGGTCGAAGATCCATGCCATCGAATAGACAGCGAGGTGCGATCCACATCGTCCGAATGACAGACGTAATACTTTTTGCTAAAGCGGAGAAGAATAATTTACCTGAAAGAATTGCTCCACAAACCATAAGAATTCATTCCATTTTGTCCTGATGGTGTTCCTTTCTGAGCAGATGATTCGGATCCTCGGACGGTGTTATTTAAATCCAGCAAGTTGTCATCAAATATCTCAATGGGATCATTTTCATGACCTATCATGATTATTCACAAAATCAGAACGAAAATATTTTGATTTAAAATGCAACTAAAAATACTTTAATTAAATTTTTTATCTTATATTTTGTAACAAAAGATGTTGATTTTAGTCATAATTTTTTTAAAAAAAATAATGTATTTTGTAACAAAAGATGTTGATTTTAGTCATAATAATTTCACTAAAATTTATGTTCAGTCAAGATTTTAAATTCTGCTACTTGGATATATTTTTATGATTTTCGAGAAGAAAATACCTGGAGATGCAGCCTTATCAGTGGTCTTCACAGTCCGATACATCTGCGGTTATGAACAATTATATCGAAATAATTAATCAAAATTGCAGCAATACTAAAAAATTTATGACAGACTCATTAAGATTATAAATTTTAATAATGCGGAGATAATTTTTTTAAAGAGAAAAATAAGCTATTTGCTGCATATCTAAGATCTTAATTATGAGTACAGCTTTTCATGCATTTATTGTAACATCAGATGTAATTATAGATGTATGATGAAAAAATTATGAAGTAATGATGCGCAGTAACCTTTTCCTTTCTCTTCCTACCTTAAAGGTAAAGTTTTCTGATTGGCAAGCAAAAAAAGCTGTTCCTGACTCTTAGAACTTACAAATCTGGAAGATTATAGAGAGAAGGAGGCTAGCCAGAGTGGGGGAGGGAGGGAGGGATTATGAGAACAATATGAAATGTAGCCAAAGGAGAAAGAGGAAAGAAGATGAAAGAAAATGGAAACAAAAGCTCTACATATCTATAAACAAAATGCAATCTTTGTAATTATCCCGTTTCCAATAATAAGAAAGATTCAATCTTTACAACAAATCTGTAGATGGGATAAGAACAAAGTGGGCAAACTGTGCAAGTATCGAGGAAAAGATCAGAAAGAAAAGAAGAAGCCTAACAATAGTCTGATGAAAAAAGAAAACTTGAAAGTATTCGGAAAGGAGAGAAGAAGACAAGCTTATCACTTTACCTGTAAGTGGGATTTCACATGAGCCAAGGTGAGATCTTTCACATCCATGAGCTCAAGAACAGACTTGGGGGTCGCCCCTATGATCCAAAAACATAGGAAAACATAAGAAAATTTTAACTGGAGAGAGAGAGAAAAAGTGTGACTTTATAATTACTCTCATGACCGCCGAGGAGGTCAACTGCATGGACAAAGCGAGCATGGAGTGTGGAGGTCCAGCGCATCCGGGGAGCTCTCATGCTGCGCTTTGTGGGAAACCGTGGGAAAAATCTTGAAGATGATGACAAAGATGAAGACAAATTAGTTGACCTCGAGAAGGAGGGTGAAGGGTGATTGGAAGCTGCTGTGGTCAAGGAAGAGTTATAGAGGTGGTAATGGTGAGAGGGGAAAGGAAAGGAAGGGGGGCAGTGGTAGACGGGGATGCCACTAATGGGAGGAAGTGAAGGCCGTTCATGGAGGAAGGGTGGGTGATGGTGATGGTGATGGTGATGGTGATGATGGAGGAGGTGGTTGGAGTGAAGGGGGAGAGAGGGGTCTGAGAGAGAGAGATCTGCAGCTGCGTTGGAGGAGGAGGAGAAGAAGGATGGGGAGGGATTGGATGGTGGTGGAGTGGTGGTGGAGTTGGAATTGATGGCGCTTCTCCAAAACCCTAACTTTATGGTGTCTTCTGATGTAGCGCTCCAGTTTGAGCTTGGCTTGGTGGTAGTTGGAGGGCTTATTTGCAGTGATAGGTCTGGCTGTGCAGGAAATAGCTCCATTTTAAAAATTTGGTTTTGATAAAGTGAGAAGAACTGAAGAGATGTTAAGTTTTCTTTGAATTGTTTCTCTGATCTCCTCTCTTCTCTTCTTCCTGCTTGTATTTCTTCTTCTTCTTCTGCTCGTCTGTGATAAAAACTGTAAAAAGGAGGAAGCTTTGTGGTGGTTGGAAGAGGAATGGAGGAGATTTTAGGGGGTGTTGGACATGGAGCTATGTAAAGAGGAAAGATGAAGTGGAGGTGTAAAAGCACCTTTGAGGCATTGTGAAAATAATTTCTTGCTTCTCTTCGGAAATATAAGAAAATGACACTCCTCTAGCTCTGTGAGTGTGTGCATGCCAGATAGAAAGAGGAAGAGATGGAGAGAGAGGAAACAATCTCCAAACAGGATTTGCAATTTGGATCCCTACTTCTTTTACAGATCTATCCGTTTATTTAATTTGATTTTCTTAATTAAAAAAAAAATTTAATCTTTGGAATTAAAGTTCTAAGTTTGGTAGGTTGTGTGCTATCACATCACTTAATCCCTCTATATTCTAGATTTGACCTCCAAAAACCTTTTTTTTTTCTTTATAGGCCATGTTATTATTATTTCTCCCCCCTTCATTTCCTTTAATTTTGCTTTAATTTTCTCCATCCTTTCCTATGTCCTCAAGCATGGTTGGAATAGAAAGAAGAGAGCCCACTTTTCTATGCCCACATGAACATTTAATTTTTAGCATGTTAGGTCTATGTCAAGCTCATTGGTGTTGAGGGAACATATATCATTTATAATTGAATTTATCACATTTCATATCATCTCAAGTGAAATTGCACAGCAAAAGAGGGGTTTCATTTCTCTGAAAAATAACATTGAAACTTTTGCTTTCTATATCCTTTCTGCTTTAGTTTTGAGTGTATAAATGCAAATTTTCCATGTATATCCATTCTTATTTTCATAACTACTTAATATTTTTTTCTCCTTCTCCCCAAAAGAGAGAAAACAGCTACCTTTTTTTAATTCCATGGAACTAAGAGCTACTGCAAGTAATGGCAGCTGCGTACAGATGTTCTATATAGCAAAAAATATTAATTTGGCTTCATGATTGCTTTTATTTGTGCCTGTTTAAAGTGTGGGTAGCAGCAAGACATCTTCATTTGCAGTGAAAGTCAGAAATTGAGTGAAAAATGTTCTGCAATTATACACTTCACATTTCTTTAAGTTTTTTTATTAATATTTAACATTTGTACCATTTCTAATATAAAAAAAATCTTTTAAGCATAAATTCATATATATATATATATATATATATGCCATTTTTTATAAAATATTAAAGTATATATATATCAAACCTAAGTTTTCATATTTACAGACAAAGCACTGAATTTTAAATGTCATATAGAAAATAGCACTATTATCTCATCTTAAAAGTGAAATACACATTTTTATCCATTGGTTTAATTAAAGGGCCAAAGTGCTATGAATGTAAATATGAAGGTTTTGATGTGAGATATGAAAACACATAAAAATTATGTGGTACGTAAATTGTTCTTATTTTTATTGCCATTTTTACATAAATATTAGACAAGTTTTATGTATTTACATATCTAGCACCAAAATTTTCTTATTCACATTATTAAAGCCTTAATGTCAGAGAAAAATGTATTTGACATTTGCAAAGAAAATGATAGCAGCACTTGTGATGCACCGCTAGAGCTTTGAGTGGTTGTATGTGAATATCATAGTCTAGGTGCCAGATATGTAAATACATAAGAATTGTGTGGTATGTATGTAAATGCTTTACTTTATTTTGGCATATGTTATGTTGGAAATGATTTCCTAAGAGATAGTGCATTGATCATTGCTAGAAATGTTGTTGAAAAATATGTTGTAATTACATGAAAGAATTGAAAGGCATGGTCAATGCTGCCTTTATAGACAATTTTGTTGGGTACCCTCTAAAATATAATTAGTCGTAACAATAATATTCTACTAGGAGACACAGATTGTTGAGGTATATAACATATTAAGGATTTTGATAGAAAAATATGAATTGTTTTCATGAGTTTATGATGGAAGTCAGTATTTAAATCTAGACTAACTTTTCTTTCCTCACATATGAATTCTCTTTGGGAAATCTATGTTATGTTATGATGTTGATACTTTACACGTGACTTGGAAAGGTGATGAAGTGATAAGAGATCGGTGCTTGAATCCTAGAGTTGGTGCTATAGGCCTTGGAAGAGTGGGGACATCATTTTAGTGGGGATATAGAAGAAGACATACAAAGATGGTGAAATTTTGTCAACCAAATGTATAGTGTATGTCCATAGTGCCATGAGAGAAATGAATTTATTAAAAAGGACAAAATACAAATGGAGGTATCCCTTGCATTACCATGTGATTGTTGATAGTGAAGAAATGAAGAAAAAGAGGTCGCAGAAGGGTGTGAAGAGATTTATTTTATAAAAAAAAAAGTCAACCTCTAATTGGTTGTACCAAAAAGTTAATGGCATTGAGCAACAACCTTCTTCATCCTTTTTTCATAATTTTCAATCATGTGGAGGACACATGGAGGTCCCAAATTGAATACATATAATACATGCTCAAATAGAATCATAAATAGACAATGTGGTGTCAAAGTCTTGATAGAAAAATCCTACATCGATCTACTTAGAGTCGATCAATATGAGTTGTTAGCAAGGCTCTTTGACTTGGGAACTCGCAATTGACATCCCTGGAGATGAAGGACCATCAAAACTATCTATCATAAACAAATTGATCCTCCTATCATTATGATTTCATTTTATACATTCAAACTAAGTTCCACATCTACTTCTAACTTTATTTTTATCCGTCATAAAATTATATTTCATTTCATGCTTTCAATCAACCTCTAATATATACGCTTAATACCATCTAAAGCTTGCATTTCCTTAAAATACTTTTTGAAACCATTGAAATTTTGGGATAAAGCATTGAATTGATCCTCCTATCATTATGATTTCATTTTATACATTCAAACTAAGTTCATGCTTTCAATCAATCTCTAATATAGACACATAATGCCATCTAAAGCTTGCATTTCCTCAATAAATACTTAGAAACCATTGAAATTTTGGGATAAAACATTGGTATGAGTGAAAATTTGAAAGATGGATGAAAGATTGTGGTAGATTTATAAATAAAAATGTTTCTAAGGGTAATGTATGTAATTATGTAATAGCCCCTTAAATCTTTTACTTTTTTATCCTTATCTTTTACTGTTATTTACTTATTTTATATTATCTCGCGTAATTAAACCTTTTATATATATTTATTATTTTCTTCTATCTCGGTACTTGGACTTTGAACTTCAACATTTTTTATAATATCGTATTAAACTCAATTGACCCAAATAATTTATAAGCCCTTCTCCCATTGCCTGAATAATTATTTTTTTAAATAAAAAAATAAAGAAAATCTATTATTTTTTAAGAGGGCTTACATGCATGTGGGTCCACAATATATTTTATTTATTTATTTATTTATTTATTTTCAATATATTGTAGTTATCTGCATTTTATAAATACAGTGGATTAAATAACTACAGTAATTCGGGGTGAATTTGAGCTCTGCCAATGGCATCAGATAAAATAATTTGTGTGCAACAATTTTTTATTTTTTATTTATTATTTCAAGAGCTAAAATGTACTAAAAGGTAATATATATACGTGGTGTTCTCAATTTACGGTGTAAGCGAGTCGAGTAGAGTTGGAGCTAGGGCTATCAAAAAAGCTCGTTGTTCGCGAACAGTTCGTTCGTTCGATAACAATGAGTTCGTGTTCGATTCGTTCGATAAGTAAACGAGACAAACGCGAACAAATTTTTTTCGTTTGGTTAGTTAAACGAACCAAACACGAACAGTGATGCGTTCGTTCGTGTTCGAATCGTTATTGTTTGAAATATAAAATAATATAAAATAACTATAAATAAAAAAATTTATTATATTTTAAAACATTAAATTTTATAAATTATAATATATAATAAAATAATAATAATAATATATTAATATACTATAGTAGTAATATACTAATATAGATATTGTATATTTATATAATATAAGTTATATAATTAATATATAATATTATTTTTATATATTAATATTAGGGATGTCAAACTGGCCCGTTGTTCGCGAACAGCTCGTGTTCGGTTCGTGTTCGGCTCGTTCGTTAAGAAACGAACACGAGCTTATTTCAAACAAACTAAATTTTAAACGAACCGAACACGAACACAAGCTTTGTTCGTTCGTGTTCGGTTCGTTTACACCCCTAAAGAAGACCATCAACAATGATGATTTAGAAAGCTCCGAAGAGGAAATGATGATTATAAAATAGAAGAAACCATAGTATGAGATATCCTTTGAAGATGTGGAGAAAAGTGAATATGAGTTGATGTATTATTGAATCAACCCCTATGTGAATGTCATAACCCTTACTCTAATTCCCCCTCAAAAGGTTGAGAGTTTAGAGGTCGAGGAAGTTTATAGCGTTGGTTTAAAGCCGATCAAATTTTACCATGCTTCTACTTCTGCTGATCTAAAAAATTATGTAAATATGGATGAGGATTCTAATGAATTAATGGAATTAACTTTTGGTTACTTTTGTCCTTGTGTACAAAAGTTAATTCAAAAGGGATATTTTCCAAAATAAATGCCAAAAGATAAGTTACAACTTTTTGAAAAGTTATGGAATATTAAAAGTCAAACTCTGAACTCGAAAGAGGGTCTCAGATTTGGTACGTTAGGACCAGTCGCTGATTCAGAATATTGTATGGTTGTTGCTAGTGAATCAGAAGAGGAATACCTCAATGTAGAGGATGTTTCTCAAGATTAGTTAATAGTAAATGCCCCGCTAGAATTTGAGGAAGAAATTGAATCAACTATTAATGAATTGAAGGAAATTAACCTAGGGACTGAGGAGTAGCCTCGACCTACCTTTATAAGTTCCTTACTCAATGAGGAAGAATCCACAAAATTAGTCAAATTATTGTTAGAATTTAAGGATTGCTTCGCTTGGAGCTATGATGAAATGGAAGAATTATCCCCAGAAATCGCAGTGCATAGGCTAGGGGTGGACAGAGATATGACCCTGGTAAAACTATTTCCCAGAAGAATGTGCCTTGAGATAGAGCAACAAGTCAGTTCCAAAGTGAAGAAATTAGTAGAGGCTAAATTTTTAAGAGAAGAGTAGTAGCCCACATGGTTAGCCAATATTGTGCTAGTTAGGAAGAAAAGTGGACTAATCCATGTTTGTGTCAAGTTTAGGGATTTGAACATAGCCAGTCCAAAAGACAAATTTTTGTTGTCAATACCAGCAATGATGGTGGACATCCCTTTGACACATGAGATTTTCTCCTTCATGGATGGAGC